TCAGAAAATGGCACTTTGAAATACATACGGGAAATACGGTGGACTCTTCTTTCAGAATGTTTTCATTGGGTATCCAGGCAGCATGTGCACAGGTTCTGAATGCACCCTTAGCTCCAGCAGCTGTCAACTGGAGCCTGCTCTTCCATTCTGAGTTTGGACTTGCATCACAGAACATTTCTTACCAGGAGAATATTGGGCACGTGGTCTCAGTGCAACACCCCTGCACCAGCAGAGGGAAACCCCACTGTTCCCACACCGTGTCCTCATCGTACCCATAGGTGCAGGTCTTTGGCTGCTCCTGTCTTCTGTGAGCCGCTGTTATTTGCACATGGTGGAAAAGCTTCAGCTACAAAATTCTTGTTGTGGTACTTAGGTGGGAAACTGAGAACCCAGGACTTCTGTTGGATTTGTTGTTCTGTCTGGGATCGTAGATGGATTCAAGCCAAGCCTGTAAGTTCTACATCTGTAGCAGGCAATTCAGTGGCAGATCGGACTTTCTTTGCACACAGACTGGTTCTCACAGGATGAACGGGCAAACACATTCTTGATAAATCTGATGGAAGGCTCCTAGCACTGTGGCTGAGCAGAGCAGAGCACAGCAATGGGATTGTTGGTTTGGGGTGCGAGTTGAGTGCAGTCTGTCAGCATCCAGGGGTGTTGCTCAGTCATCAAAAACTGATGGAATTTCAGTGTGCTACATTAAGTTGCAGCGTGCTTATAGACTTGAAGGTGTCTGTGTGATTAGAAAGTCTCTCAGACATGATGAATAAGAAACTCTGAGATTTGAACCCTGCAGCAAGGAAAGAAGAACACAGCACTCCCGCATTGAGCAATTCAAACGAGCTCTGCTTTGAGCCATCTTTAGCTTAGGTTTTTCCAAGCAGACTGCTCTGCTGGGGAAGAAGGAATTTTGCTTGAACAACACAGCTGATGGGAAATGTAGTGTGTCACGGAGTTGACCAGATCAATCTATGTCCGTGACATAGACAGCTATGTCCGTGACATAGTAGCTATTTTGCATAGACTTAAGTGAAAAGAAAGTGATGTCAATGATATAACTGATTGTTGCAAAGCTGTGTGGGAATGTAAATCCCTTGATCTGTATGGTACAGCTGAGGTCCTTCCCACAGCACTCACCCTGCTGTCTGACCTTTGATAGATCCAGAGGCAGAAAGCAGCAGGACCGGCTCCTGGGTGGAGCCTGGCACACAGCTGGGTGGACTGCAGAACAAACATGACGGCTGCCATGACAGACCATGGAAGCAATATCACCTGGGGCTCCTTGCATTAGGCAGCCTATGGTTATGACTTCTTTCTCCTTGCCCCTGGTTTTGTTTAGCCTGGCTGTGAATGACTGAGTGCTATTGGGCTTGATTCTGTGCTGTTACACCACTGGTAAAGTAGGAATGACAAGCAGTCATGCTATGATGAGAACAGAGATGTAGGCACTCTGTAGTCTGGAGGGGATAAGCTAAAGCTATCATTTAAGTCTTCCCATTGGAAAAGCAAGACAACTGTGCTTGTGGTTTCTCATGCTTGTCCATTTTTGTGTTGGTGAGGTTTGCTGCTGTTTGCATGCAGGGCTGTAGTGGTCCTGTGAGTATGCAAGTCCCACAGCACCCACAGTCCCAGTGCTGCTATTCCATTCTTCCGTTCCTAAATCTCCCACACTTAAGAGAGTAAGAAATGAAGTAAGAAGGAAATGTGTTAAATAACCACTTCTCATGTGAGCTACTATTAAATGTTTCTAGTCCACTGTTTCATCAGAGAACACTTTGGGAAGTGAATTGGACAGCAATGGCTTGGCAGCTCATCCAACACCAACTATTTCAAAATTGCACCTTGATGAAACACGTTGGCAACTGTGTGTATGTGACCTCTGCTCTTCCTTCAGCAAAAAAGGCTGGTGGCATTCTGAACTATTGTTCTTTTATTTAAAACAAGTCTTTCAACTGAGAGCCAAAAATGTTTTTCGGTGAAGCTTTGAAAAATCATAACAGAAGTCCAGCAGCTCATAAGAATTTTGCATTGCCAGCTCTTCATAAAGTAGAAGAGCAATCTTCTGTATGTTCTGGCTAATCCTTAGCTCCATAGCGTTTCACCTTGTTCTCGCAACAGAACTTACAATTAATAATTCATTTCTTTTTCATTTTTATTGGTACTTTCAGACATTTATAGCCTTGGACCATCCGGTTATTCTTTTAGCAGTCTGTATGCATCTCCAATCCCTGTTTGCAGGGATGTAATTCTCACACTTTATTATTTCTGCTGTCCATCATTCTTTAAATTTTTTTCCCAGTAATGTGAAATGTCATCTAGTGCATAAACTGCCTCAGTCATGATGGACTCAGGGATATCCTTAACAGACCTCTCACCAGCTCAAGCAAGTTTCTACATTTTAATACAATCAAAGTATTTCATCAATTTAAAATTTTAAAACGTGCATCTGCATTGAATTTTACTCCTAAGACTGCATGAATACCAACACCATCTTCTCTCGTTCAGAAATACTGGTCATCAGTTAATGATTCCAAGGCCTTGTTGCAGCCATACTCGGAGAGCTGCGGTGTGGCTCTGAGTTGATTGCAGCAGCGTTGGGCCCTTGTTCAAATGCGCGCTGAGAGATTAGCAGCTTCTGCTGATTTTGGCCACGGAAGAGAAAGGTGATCTTTCAGTTAAGGAGGTGTTAAGAGCCAGGACTTTAATCTGTACCCACGCAGCACATTTTCAGTGCAATATGCTCTGTGCAGGAAGTGCAGGTGAAAACAAGCCGGCTGTTCAGGCACGAGTGCTTTGCAGTTTTCAATGCTTTTCATGTGGAGGTTAATTGTATGGTACTACACTAAAGCCAAGCTGAAACTGACTCTGATGTTTCATTAGCCAAATTTAAGAGCTTGGCCAGATCGTGAAAGGCTTCAGAAAGAAAATCTTACTCATTTTTTGATCATTTCTTTCATTCATTCTGCATGATCACACAAACTTGCATTGTGAGCAGGATCCTTGGGTAGTTCACTGGACTCAGGCACATTCCTCTGGAGATCCAGAGCACGCTGACTCTGTGCATGTTTAAACCTTGCAGCAGCAAAACAATCTGGCTCACCAGCTAATAGTCCTTTTCTTCTGCCCTTCTGAAAGACATTTTACTTTCTGCTTCTGCAAATCTTTCCCATCTTAAAATTTCACTCCATTTATAGAGGTTCCTACATTTTCTCATTAGTTCTTTTAACAAATCCAGATGCAGCTCTCCTTTAATTGAGGACAGATATATATTTAGTCTGCTCAAATGTCCTTTCATTATCTTTTTATTCACTCTTCGTTCCTCCAGCTGAGTCTAGCAATTTTTCTGAGTTTTCCTGTAAAGAATCTTTGATTCCCTCATCTTCATTACTCATTTTATGGCAAACTGGTATTTAAAATCTTGGTATTTTGTGTGTGATGTAGTGAGTTTTGTCATAAAGGAAATATCTCTTGCAAAGACAATTTACATTTTGCTGTGGTCTTGAATATCAGTAACACTGTTTTACTCACACTGGAGCTGTTTGACAGTCTGGCATTATTTTTATCCAGATTTTTCCAGGCAGTTGGCAGCAGTACATGCTGGAAAGCACTTCTTCAGTATCTCTTTCACTGAAATTGGTGGTTCATCAACACTGTCTGTAATTTGTTTCGCTTACACAGCAATAGAATCCAGTTTGAATTGCAAATAAATGGAATCTCAACATTGTGCAGTCTTCTAGCATATGGACTCGAATTAGCTCTATTCAGTTTTAGAATGTTTTCCCATGTTGCAGAAAAAATATAAGGAATTTAGGCCATTTCTTAAGACTCATCACAAGTCATCAGAAGTAGAAGGCTCTTCTATATTCCAGTGTGGTTAAACGACAAGTCAATACAGTATCAAAAGCTTTTGAAGGTGCTTTTGAAGATGGGATTTAAAAATCTTAAGTATTAATGTAAAGCACAGAAAGCACCTGTGATCAGACTCTGTCCAGGTAAAATCTGTAGGTCTGCAAAAAGAGGTAATAGAGGTGGCTTCAAAGTAGCTTTGTGCTTTGTCTGCTTGTGCTCCTCAACAGTGTGCATGGCTTTACAGTGTAAGAAATCAAAAGCTCAAACTTCTCATTTCAGGAGTCCCAAGGGTTACTTGTATAGCCAAGAATAACCAGAGCACAGATAAGCTCTTAATGCTGGGAGCTATGACACAGCTAAAAGCCCTTATAATTCCTGCTCTGTGCAATTTAGAGAATTTCTCTTGGCTGACTGTATTTGCAAGGAAATAATTCCACTTACTAGCCCTCATACACCACAGAATTGAAAATGTCTTACTTAATGTACAGTGCTGCAACAGGCTCTTGATTTAACTATGCAAAAGAAAACGGCATATTTTGCAATATGTCTAGGGAAATGTTTTATAATATAGTCAGGTAATGATATTTCATGATCTCTGCTATCATATTTCTTTTTGGGAGTCCTTCTACGTAACTTGGGGAAGACCTCTGATAGTTTACATCACTTATCCTTTAGATGAACCTTCCCCAGGAATGCACACTCTGTACATAGGTGTACGTATGCATATTTTGTCACACACACTGCAAGAATGTCCTGCACGAGATCAAACCAGAGAACAGTCATGGCATGCCTGAAGAAGTGCGAGGAAGCGCCTGAAGAGCCATCAGAAAGCCTGGCATCACCCCCCCACCCCCCTGTCAATAACAGATGTCAACCTTCTGATAAGATTGTGATCCTGGCGTACCCAGCCAGTGGGGAAACAGGGGAGGGGGGGGGCAAGGGGAGAAAGCAGGGTATAAAGGCTGTCATGCTGTGTCCATAGGTGTGCTCCTGCTTGCGGGACGCCACCATTGCAATTGCGAATAAAATCTGCTTTTATCAGAGATGCTGTCCTCACAAAATTATTTGGATATTTCCAACACTAAGAAACTCTTCAGTGATTAAACGTGGTTTTATTTTCTTAGTTGTGTGATTAGCTTAAGCATGCTTACTTTGCTGAAGCCCGGTGTATTTTTGAAGCATGTTTTCAGAAAGTCCTTACAGTTCTTCAAGGTGTGAATTTAAACATTCTTCAAACTCTTTGGTAGGTTTCTCTTCCTCTTGAAGGAACTTCTGTGTTGTTGCAGGGAAGGATGTCTCAGGAGAAGACTAAGACGTGCATAGAAAGCCATGGTTAGCAAACAGCAGCAAGTACAACAACATGCCTGCATTATCAATTATTAAACGTAAAACATCTGTGCACAGAGCAGCTAATAACCCTGTAATTCTTCATATCTCTCAAAAAAAACATAACTCTGAATGTATGTTTTAAAATGTGTTCAGGTGCCTAAGTAACATCATCTGAATGCGTTTCAACACCTCTGACATTCATTCACAACATTAGGCTGTAGATTTTCCACTGAAAATGTAAATATCCTGTTAGGCAGAATTATGCTGCTTCAGAACCTCCAAAGTTTGGATCAGCTAAAGGTCACATCAGTCACTTGTGTAATTTAGACCAGGACAGAGGACAATAACTTGTCCTTTGGAACTGCAGAATGTAACCTGTGTTGGGTACTGCTGATAGCCTCCTGTAATTTTCTCTCTTGATTCTCTTCCACCTCATGAGATACTTTCTGAGGAAAGGAAGAAAATCTGTTCTCATTTCAGTGCCATTAACATCAAGGCCTGATATTTTGGAGAATGTACCAAACTATGAGTAGGTCACCGAAAAATCTTTTTTCCATTAAATGGGGATTTAGCAGACTGAAGCATAAAACATAGGAAAATCAGTTTTAAAGTGGTTGTCATGGAACTTAGGAAAAGACATGAATAAGTCTTTGCTGAGGCTGGAATCAGTTCTAAACATGTAAGAAGCAATTTCTGTTAATTCTTTTTGCTAATATTTAAGATCTGTTCATTGGAATGTCTTCATAAAAGAAACCTCTATCAAATGAAATCACAATGCTTTAAATAACTTCAGTGTTTATTTGTGTAGATAATTACAACTTTATGGCATGCATTTTTAACAGTTAACTCCAAGCAGCTTTGTAGTTTTACTGTAATACTGACTAAGAGGAAGGTAATTTTCTGTCTTTATATGGCTATGAATTGAGAAAGATTATTAAAATTTATTATCCTAATTAAACTGTATGTAAAAAATATTTTAGTAACTGATAGAATTATTAGTCTAGAATGTCTGGTTTTGTTTTTCCTAGAATGTAAAATGGAGAGTTATCTGTTGATACGTCAGATAGGAATGGCTCCAAATGATTTCAATATCCAAATATTTTGTGCAAAATGTCAGCTCTATCATACCTGCACATTTTTACTCTAAGATCCATTGTATCAGAATGACATATTCCCTATTTCTGCAGCAATTACAGGCAGATTCAGTCTTTGCTTTCGGCTTGGTTTAAATCTGCTCTTTTTCAGGCCAAAAGATGCAAACTACATAACAGAAAGACTTTACAGCACTATTCTGTTCATTCAAACTGTTTGCAGCAGACCTTGATATGAAGTTTAGGGATTTCCTAAAGGAAACTCCTTTACTTTTCAAACTATAGCGAGTAAATGATGGTCAGAAATAAACACTGGATGTAATACCACCCTTGTAGCCAGGCTTTCTGGACATGCACAGCTCCTCAAATGAAATTCACAGATAAAGCAGAATTTTCCTATTCCTAGTGCCTCCAAAGTAGTGTTTTAGCAGGATGGGGAAGAAAGTGACATGATTTGCTACATAGGAAGGAACAACCTAGAGGTATTGAATCCCCTTGTTCCACAACATTCTTCTATGAATCCCTGCACAAGCATTGATCTTCCAGTGCTTGAGAAACTCTGGAGGAAAATCACCTTCTGTCACCTTTTTCCTTATAAACATGTACAGGATTTCCCACACAAATCAACATGATTTTGTACAAGGAGTTTTCCCTGAGAATTTGAATACCATGGACACAAGCACATTCTTTCTGCTACTCTCATGGGCTATTTCCTTGTGAAGTTTGGGCTCAGTGATAGAGTTGGCAGTGTTATTTTGAAGTATTTCAAGAAAGCTTTTGCATGACGAAGAAGACACTCTGGATGGAGGCTTTTCTTAAAGAAACATCTCTGAAATCAATACTGAGCAAATAAACCCCTTCCAACAGCAGACTGATATGAGTATTAGTCTTCAGAAATGTTATCTCAAGTTATGAGAAATTCCTTCTAACAATGTTTACAGTTGCTGTTTTGTCATTAGAAACACATGGATCTCTGCTCAAGCCATTGATAAAATACTGGTGTCCTTGGCTTCAACTGGTACTTACTCTGATGTGCTTTCTTGAAACACAATGTAAGCCCCAAATGAGACATTTATGAATTTACTCAGCATTGAGGGAAGAACGTTTATCACTCAGAACAAGCAGATGATGGTTCCTTACACCTTTGTATCCTGGGGGTAAGACACTGCTATCATTTTAGATAGATCCCTAATGCACTGTTTTTATGCACTTTGTGAGGAGGTTGTGTATAAACAGGTCTAAAAGGCAAAATTTCTTGTTAGCAAGTAAGCTTTGTTTTCCAAGGTTCTGATCTGTTTTTTCACTCTGTTCTGTATTATCTTTGCTTTCTGTGCCTGAGGAAGGAAAACCATAAAGAAATTGCTTTAACCCATGTGTCAGGAGAGACTCCGTCTTCATTTTTGAATTTGTTTTCCTCAGATAACACTTCTTTTTTTGTCTTTCAGTTTCCTAACTGTATGCTGTACAGAAATGGGACCATTGCTAAGATTTCGACCTAACTTTTTGGGTAGATAGGCAACAAGGACTCTGCTTTTTCATTACTCATGTGTCAGCTGACCCCATATTTCCTTGGTGTAGACCAGTAATGAGAATCACCTTTTTGCCTCATTGTTTGCTGGCAGTGAAGCAAAATTTGATAAAGATGTGAATCTCCACATGGGATGTGTTAAATATATCTTTTCCTTAGACAAGAACAACTCAAAGTTAACTGGATTGCTGGGCAGAAGCACTCCAGAAAGCCAGGTCTATTCTCACTCACAGAGCGCCTAATTAATTTGTCTAGAGTCAATCTCTTTCTTGCCCTGTGAGTTGTGCCTACTTTCTTGTCTGCTCATTAAGCAGGGTAAATGAAAGCACTGATGTTTGGGATAGTCTTACATTTAGAAGTCAAGTCATGCTTCCAGACTCTTCACATGTTTAGTCCCTTCAGCTTCCCAGGAAAGTTCTTACAACAACAAGCCTAGGAATTGGTCTGGCTAATTTTAGCCTCATTGTGGCTATATCTGGAGGCCTCTTGGGCTAGTTGCCTCCAACCCTACACTGTGATACACCTTAGACAGCAGGTAGAGATGCAGTCTTCTAAGAAAAATGTGCTTCTGCTTGTATATGAAAATAAAAATCAAGATGCCTAGGATATCATCAAGCCACTGAGGAAGGCATTTGGAGGACCTAAACATTCAAGCATCTACACACCTAAAAAGTGAGCAGCATGAACCATGGTAGGACCAAGACAGTCAAAATCATTCCCAATAATGTCCAATGCTAGAATTTCCATACCTTTCCATTCAATTTACTCAAAAGTAATTTCCCATCCTTAAAGTTAAAAAGTTTCCTAATGCTACAGCCTTTCTTGTCTTATACCAAGTCTTGAAAGCAAGAGCACACAATGTATGTCCACCAAGAGAAACATGACAAAGTATTTGTGACTAAAAGTCAAAGATCCAGATTGGAGAGCACAATGTACAGAACAGCTTGCTCCGGCTAATAGAGAGAAATTATGAAAAATGGACTATTCTGAAACTGCACAGAAACTTATTGGCTATTTTTCTTTTTTTTTTTCAATGCAAAAGATTAAACCTTATGCTGGAGATTGGACTGTTCTATTGAATTGTCTTCCCAGAGACTGGGAATGGTTCGAGTGGCCATTTTGTGCAGTTGTTCATTTCCGTAGAAGAACACACCGTAACGTACTGTTCAGGCAAAGAACATCTATTTCAATTTAGAAAGCCTGGAAACAATACATTCTGAGTTTCTGGAAATTTTCAGTGAATCCTAGCAGAGCATTCTAGTTTAAAGGCAGGAGTGGTTTTCTGTAACCTCTAAGTAGGAATGTGAAAGGACACTGACTTCAGTGCACTGTTCATTAAGGTTGTTCACAGATTCTCTAGTGGGAGATGAGATACAGGTCTTTGTCAAAAGCCTGAGTGACTATTTTCTCACTTCTCTAAATACTAAAAGAGTAATTTTTGTAGGTTTCAGGACATCACCCTTGTTCTGATGTCTTCAATTAGTGCTACAAAAGAAATTTTGAATATACTGGAGATCTGACTTACATGAAACATCAATTCTGAAAAATCTGCCAAAGAACCCTGATTTACAATACGCTGTATTTTTTCCTCCTTGTTTCATCATGCAGTGGCTTTCCATTCAAACAAAGAACTCTAGAGTAACAGACAGTTGACTTGTCTTGCCTCTAAAGCTGTAGTATCAGTCAGTCTGAATGATCAATTTTGTTGATCTTCTGAACTTTTACCTGCTTGGATCCCTCTGATTTGGACATAAAACTCTGTATGAGAGTTTTACTTAAAAGTTTAATTTGTACTTTGCCCATACATCTTCTGGCAAGTATTTTCCTCATCACCTAGTCAATTGTCTTGGCATCAACCCCGTCCTGAGTGCCAGCTGGGTAACAGTTTCCCTGTAGATTGCAAAACTGTGTCAGAATGGCCGTTATCCGTGGCCTGGCTGGAAACAGAAGCTTTGAGCCCTGCTGTCTCTGTCTGACTCTTCTGACAGAACAGAGGATGAGGACTGGTGTTTATCAGACTTTCCTGAAAAAGTTCAAACAATTCCTTTTGCTCCTAGCAGTTTAAAGAGGAAAACTTCCAATCCACGAGAAACTAAAAGTCACGTACTTAACATTCACACAAAACATAAGAAAATAAAAACGGAAGTGAGGTCAAACATTCAGGACTGTGCGGTTCCCTCCCTGTTCTCTGACTACTGGGACACAGCTGCTGGGAGCACAGACACTGAAGGGCTGCACTGCTGTAGCTGTTCCTCAGGCAGGCCATCACTGAGCTGCTGCCCACCTGCAGTGAGACTCCAGCAGCCAGGCGGCTGACAGGAAAGGGTGTGTGCACTTCTCTGAACAGCAGTACGGTCACTGCAACCTGCTTTAAGATGACCTGGGGTCATGATGCCTCTTCCACCCTTATTACTGTGTGGAATGGCAAGAATATTGCCTACTTCTTCCCAGTAAATGCTGAATTACAGTCTTTCATTTTCTTCTCTTGAGATGACTCAGCCACACGCAGTTCAGGATCTCCTCATCACAGTTGGACAGGGAGATGGCTACAGTCCACTCCTCATTAACCCGTTAGTTCTGTAAAAATTCGCTGTGATCACACAACTTGAGATCTGGAAAATGAATGCTGAATTTTCAAGTGGAAAAAAAAGTGGCTTATAGTGGGTAAGGAAGAATAAAAGATACTAAGGAAGAGTATAAAATTCTAAGAATTCTGGAAAGCTTTTCTTAAGAATTTGCTATAGGCAAACTGGGATGTATCCCACTTTTCATGGATTTTGCTAATCTGCACCCTCTGAAGATCTGCATCCCATGAAGACTGAAAGAAAGAATTTTGCATCATTTCATTTCAAGAAAAATAAGGATTACAGCAGTTATTTCTGTTCCTTTCTGAATACAACAGCTCACGCATGGAAAATAGCTGTTACAGTTCTTCTAATTTCACCCACCAATCACATGCTGTAGAAACCCAATCAATCTAACAGCATGTGAGGTGTAAGTTTGCAGGTATTATGGAAACAGACTTAAAGCACAGCACCCCTGCAGACGGAATATGAAGCAGAGTACTCCCCTACAAATGGCAATGAGCTAACATAGAAGTCTGTCCCACAGTCACATAATGGCAAGTAATTATCATCACTGTTAATGGACAGAATACGGCCCAATAGGGGATGTCTAATATTCAGAAAAACTGCACTTATGTTAGGATAAGGTATTTTCATTTTTTCATGACAACTGAGGTAATCTAAACTTTGGCTCCTCCAAGATTGCATTTGGTCCACAGAAGGATCTCTGAGAATACAGAGAAACAGTTACTTAGTGATAATTTGATTTCTTCTGCATTGTAAGCACGGCTCAATAAAATGCCCGTTCTGCCTTTTTCAGGAAGCAGTCCACCAAAACACAAAGGATGCTCTGTTGCTAGTGATGGAGACTTATCATCTAGTTCCATTTCATGACCTCTGTCAAGTGATAAGATAAAGTGCTTTTGGAACCACTGATATAACCTTGGCCTTGTGAAGTAGGACTACAGTTTCTATGGTATCCGCTGGTTGCGAATATGGCAGTCTGTTGAAGTTTCACATGCCTTTCATCTTCATTTTGGAAAGTTCTAAAATAGCAGTAAAAATTCCAAATCAAAATATGAAGAGCAGTTAAAAGTGAAGGCTATCACAGCAAAACCGTGCCTTTTGGTTTGTTTGTGAAATTCTGGTTACTCAAACTGTTCAAACTGTTTCACACATCAAGGCATCAAGGCATACCTGCACAAGTTTAGCAGCTTTCCAGTGAAGTTCATGTGAGTGTCTGAGGGTGCACACTTTGCTTCAGCTCCCACTTAAATCACTCTGATTTAAACCTTTTAATTGCAACTTAAGCTGAGTAACCTTGCCGTATAATTTTTCAGGATAAGATCTAAACCACAAACTTGCTTCAGTACGATGGGAAAGAGACTGAAATTAGCCACACAAATACTAAAAATAAAATATTAAAGTATAAATGAGATGGGAAACAAAGCCTATTTGTTATTTGGATAATTAGTCAATTTTGATCTAATGTAAACAACTGCGTTTGAGTAGTTAGAATAAATTTTTAAATCAATTAAAAAAAAAAAAGCTAGTATAGGAAACTAGCTGCCTCTTTACTGCAACCTTAATTTATATCCATCTGTATGCATTTTTTTAGGTGCACAAGAACATGCTTTTGTAACAACAAGGGAAACTTGGGAATTTTAAGCCCTTTACTGTAGTGTTCTGTAACTCTTTTATTCTTCTTACAGGGGATGTAACATGGATGTAAAAGCATGCATCTGTATTCATTTGTAGTTCTGTCAAGCAAACACTTTTATGGTTAATTGCAACTCAACGCAAAGCAAGCTCTTTGCTTTCCCTTTGAAATATCTTCTCCTGACAGATAACTGAATGATTCTGAAACCACATTGATTAAAGAGCAGAAAATTTTGACACTATCTTACCCAGATGTCTGCTGAATTAGACTAATTTTCAATCGCATCTTTACTTGTACGATATACCAGAAAATGAAAAAAAAATCAATTCTTTCAGATTTTACTGTATTTCTGCTACAATTTTCCTGGAAATAGTAGAAAATGCCACTGTACTGAGCTCCATCCTTATGAAAATAAAAGAAATTTCACTCTTGGGAGGCAACCACTATACTTAAACACGAGAGCTGTTTGAAATGATCCTATCATTGAAAAGATTCTAAAACATCTCACAAACCTGAAATGCATGTACAAAAGTTTTTAAAGATACATTACAATTATTATGAATATCTAAGGATACGCACTGCTGCTAGATCCTGCTTTTATTTCTAATAGAAAAGGAAGAATTTGCCAAGCACAGTGAAAGGGCAGTGCTGTCTGCAGAATGTTCACACCATCATTTTCTGACATCAGTTCAAACATTTGGTTCTGGGAGAGGATGGCTGTGCAGTCTTAATGAACTCTGCTAATCCATAAGCACACTGGGCCTTCAACGTGAGACTGAGGACTCCATAAATGGACATAAGAAGAACTAAGCAAGAACGCACTTTTCTTTGATTATAAATTTGCAGTGACTAAGACACTCCGAATGCTGTAGGACAGCACATTTTAAGTAGGCTACTATAATTTTTGTTTTTGTATTTGAAGATAAAACTGCCTGAGAACATTTACCGAGTCCTCCAGTTTTCCAGATCACCTAAAATTATTCTCCTTTCTTTCCTGCTTTTCATTTAAATAAATATTCTTCTGCTTTTCAGGGCATGGGAGAATGATTTATATATATTTGGCCTGTTTTAAAGTCCATTCTGCTTATTATTTTTCTGAAGGGCACAGTGAAAAAGCACCGCCACAGCTGAAGACAGACGCTATGAGTAACAAAACCACAGGCTTTGTTTTATTTTTGTTTTCCATTTTGTGTTCTGACCTTTTTGGAACTAATTTCTTCTGTAAACCCACAGTAAAGTCTATGTGATCTTTCTTTCTTTTTTTTTTTTTTTTCCCCTCCAGAACTGGTTTCCTACGTGTTCAATAACAGTTATTACAGTTATGTTGCAGCTTACTTCAGTAAGAGCAGAACTGTCAGACTTGGGTGCCTACAGTTATGGTATCTTTCACACAGTGAAATGACATCTCCTCCCCACCCAGCCCCCAAAACCACCGATTATTTACAGAAACTCCACTTCCTGCTGTAATCCATAAGATTGCTGGGGCTGTTTGCTATCTTGGAGAAACATGCCACCTACATTTAGGTGCTTTGATATGGATCCCATGCCTTCACTTGAGACAAATTTCACAGTTGAGGCTTAAATTTCTGTCAGCTCAGTGCAAAATAACATCTGAAACCAGAGTTCTAGTTTGAATACAGATGTAGAGGTAGGCAAATCTCTGCGTGTTTGTGAAAGAAAAGAGGCCATTTGTTAAAGCTGGCAATGCAAGATCACTCCAACTGCAGTTGAATAAGTGCTTTCAGTGGGTTTATAGAGTATTTAACACATACAGGTAGTTGACAAAAACAATATTACTGTTGGCGTGGAGACACATGGGACGAGAAGTGAAGAAAGAATGCCCTCACAAAGAGAATTCTGGACAGAATAGGTTTTTCCAGACACATATAGATATAAAATCAGCCTGGTTCCTATGAGATCAATGACTTCAGTGATGCTAAACACATGCCTTACACAGCGTGTGCTGGCTGATATACTTCTCCCTGAGTAAGAGAGTAATGGATTTTAACGACCAAATATCTGCACAATCAGTCGTATTACTTTGACATTGAAAATCAAACTTAATTAACTTGGTTTTTAAAAATTGATAGAAAGTATTTTTCTGAAAATATTGGTCTTTCTGCTTCCAGTTAATCCATTGCAATAGCTGATGTAGTGGTGAGATGGTGAAAGATGTGAGATCTCCACAGGGTAGTGAAAACTTCCTTACAATGGACAGATCCTTTAAGATCCTCTAAGATCCAGCTGTGTCAGTAGGTTTCCAGTCCTAACAGAGATTCGTCCCCTCACTTTTGCCACATGATGAAAGTGCACTTTGCCTTGAGCAGTCACCTCATTTGTGTTTGTGTTTATAGTAACCTCTTATGGGAGCTCACATGCTTTACTTTCTGAAGAAGCAGGCTAAGCACATTGGCTTCATCAGTGAAAATCATCTTCAATCATGAAAACATTTAAATATGGAGAGTATGTGGAGAAGGTATAAAGAAAAGATTAAAACTTTGGGGATAGAGAAAGCTTATTTCAATGTCAATTAAAGCCAACAGTCATCTGTGAGAACAGTAATAAATTAAGGTGGTTTCATACTAGAATGACTTTCCTTCCAAGAAGCCCGGGGTTTTCCTCTGGCTGAAAGAGCTGCCAAAGACAGATATGAAGCATTTTTGTTTTTTTTATGGGGATTGTATGGACAGATTCATTCATCAAATCCTGTGTTAAATTAAGCCTGAGATAGCTTTTTAAACTTGGAAATGCAAGTCTGGGCATATTCTAGCAAACTAAAGCTTAATGAATTTTTAAAATTGTCAGCAGGAACTTGCTTATGATCATCTTAATGACTTTAACATCCAAGAGATAGCCACAACTGGTACATAGTACATTAATTTAAGGTGTGAGTGTGCACACCTCTGATTTGTTTATGCAGTGGATAAGGGGAATGCTTCACAGTTGTAGTGAAGTCAAATAACTTGTGGCACACTGCAGTCTCCATGCACATTTACAGAAGTTGTATTTCCTCCTGTGAAACGTAGTAATACCAGCAATAACAGCAGCCACAGCAGTACAAAACTTCAGGTCAGGAGTTTCACGCATCATTTAAAAAAAGATAAAATTAGATGGTACCATTTACTGCACTTTGTAAAAAATACCAAAACGAAAATGAAAGCATAAGATTTTGTTTAGAAAATATCCAATTCAATATTACTTTTTTCAGAGACTGTTTGAAGTTGAAAAATTCACCAAACGTTCTCTTTTATTTTGGGAAAAAGATTGCCATGTTTGATATCAAAAGGAAGACTCAAAACTTTTGTGATCAGCTTTTGTTTTCCAACTCTGCTCAAAACTGTTTCAGTTATATGCTGTATTTCTATATAAATTGGTGTCCACTGCCTGACTTAATGCCAACTTTCCAAGAACCAAATCTCTTGTGTGATGTTCTCAAGCTGCCTCTCATGTACAGTTGCAACAAAGTTTGTCAAACAGTTCATGAGATTGAGAAATACTCTTTAGTCTCAATTTGGATCTTCTTAAATTCATGTTTTCTTCACAGCCAACAAATCCACCTTCCATTCAGGTTGCTATTCTTTCTAACCAATAGTATGAAAGCAACAGGTGGAAGCATACATAAAGTAGTCACAGGCATGGAAGATGTGTGAGGCGTACTACCAGGCTAGCTGCCATGGAAATCAGTCTCGTCTCCACCAAGACTCCCATCTCCTCCTCCTTCCTTCACCCAACCCACATCCAACTGCCCTCGTCCTCCATCCAGAGTTCATATGCTCACTTGCCTGCTCCTTCAGGCTCATGACAGATCCTGCACTTCCTGCTCTCTTGTATGGATGTCCCTAAAAAACATTTCCTTGAAGATTTTCTTAAAGAAGGATGCAGCATGCTGCCATCGATTCTTCCTGTGCCCCTTATTAACTTGCTTCCCCTGCTCCAAATATATTCTAATCCAACTACTGTTTGTGGCAACCTTCTCACATTCCCCAAAGCAGGTCTTTTTGCTTGCATACCGATAACTTGCATACAGTCCAGTGACTTGGGGAACTAACGTGCAAATCAAATGTATAAACATCACATATGCAGGATCTGGTTGTTCTGACAATACCTGAAATAAATCTCCATCATATATCTTAACTACTGTGAAGTATATTGTAACTAAAGTTAAATGAAGTTAAGAAAAATAGATGATCTTCACAGAATCTCCAGGGTTGGAAAAGACCTTCAAGATCATCCAGTCCAACAGAATCACAGATTTATCTTTCTCCAGATAAATTCTCTATAGGCCACTCAATATATTCCTGAATATAATATATTGAAGTGCTTAGATTAATAAGCAAAATCATGTTACTGGAAAAAAAAATAGAAATTAAAATCTTATTATTGATCTGTTTCAATCTTTGCTAATAAAAAGGCTGAAGATATGAGGTAGAAAACTCCCCACTGAGGGAGCAAACTCCCCCACACTGCACTGGTGGAGCAAGTCCAAGACCAACTCATGAGTCTGAACGTGTACAAGTTCATAGGGCCAGACAACATGCAGCCCAGCGTCCTGAGAGAGCTGGCTGATGTGGTTGCTGTGATGCTCACTATTATATTTGAAAAGCTGTAGCTGTCAGATGAAGTCCCTGGGAACTGGAAAAAGAGAAATATCACTCCCATTTACAAGAAAAGGAAGACCTGGGGAACTACAGGCTGGTGAGCCTCACCTCTGTGCCCTGGAAGATCATGAACAGATTCTCCTGGAAGATATGTTAAGGCACATCAGAGACAAGCAGGTGATCTGAGACAGCCAACAGGGCTGCACCAAAGGAAGGTCGTTCCAGATCAATCTGTAGGCTTTCTATGATGATTTACTGTTGTAAATTTGTCATCAACAGCACTGTAGAATGTATGACATGAAAACAACCACGACTATAGTTACAGACTTGATTATTGCCTTCAGTAATGACTCTACCAAAAATAACAAGAATTATTATGGCCAATACTTCGCTTTCAGTTTTCAAAATCCAAGATTGCAGCGTAAGACCTAGAAACACTTAGCAGGATGAAGTACCTTGCTTAGCACTTCTCGTTGGCTTTGTTGACTTTGTGCGTGTAGTAATAAATCAGCATTTTTATTTTCTGATTGCTCAGTAAGTTGTACAAAGGATGATCGATGCCTTTAAATTAAAAACAAAATATGAAATAAGCTGAATGTGCAAGAATATCTACATTATAATATCAAAAGAATTAGCTTACACCAAGAATTAGCCCAGAACAAGTTGGATCTTGAGAAATTTCTAGCAATTAAGGACAATGGAAGAGTGTGCAGAAAGGATCCTGAAATCTCTTATTGATTAGTATTTCATATATTCTCAAGACAGTTATGGCACATCAGAGACAAGCAGGTGATCTGAGACAGCCAACAGGGCTGCACCAAAGGAAGGTCGTTCCAGATCAATCTGTAGGCTTTCTATGATGGAGTGATAGCACTGATGGACAAAGAGAAGGTGACCAGTGTCACCTACCTGGCCTTCTGCAAGGTCTTTGACAAGGTCACCCACCACAACCTTCTCTCTAAATTGGAGACACACAGGCTTGAAGGGTGGACAATTCGGTGGATAGGGAACTGGTTGGAAAGTTGCAGCCAGAAGGTGGTAGCCAATGGCTCTATGTCCAGGTGGAGGCCAGTAATGAGCACTGTTCCCCAGGGGACTGTCTTGGGTCTGGTATTCTTTAACATATTTATCAGTGACATAGATGATGGGATTGAGTGCACCCTCAGCAAGTTTACTGGTCACACCAAGCTGACTGGTGCAGTTGATACAGCAGAAGGAAGGGATGCCATTGAGAAGGCTTTGATAAACTCGAGAAGTTGGGCCTTTGTGAATATAGTGAGGTTCAACAAAACAAAGTGCAAGGCTCTGCACTTGGGCTGAAGTAATCCCAGATATGTATACAAACTGTGAGAAAACCTCCTTGAGACTAGGCCTGCTGAGAAAGACTTAGGGGCCCCAGTTGATGAAAAACAACCTGAGACAGCAGTGCCTGTAGCCTGGAAAGCCAATGATACTCTGGGTTCCAGCAGAAGATGAGTGGCCAGCAGGGCAAGGGAGGTGATTGTCCCCCTCTACTCTGCCTTTGTGAGGCCTCAGCTGGAGTACTGCATCCAAATCTGGGGCCCCCAAAACAGTTAAGATGCAGAGCTTTTGGAGGAGGGCCACAAAGATATTTCAAGGACTGGAGCACCTCCCCTACAAGGACAGGTTGAACAACCTGGCCTTGTTCAGCCTGGAAAAGAGAAGGCTGAGAGGAGACCTCATTGTGGCGTTCCAATATTTGAAGGGAATTTATAAACATGAGGAAAACCAGCTTTTTACAAGAGTAGACTGTGACAGGACAAGGGAGAATGGTTTTAAACTAAAGGAGTGGCGATTTAGATTAGGTATCAGGAGGAAGATTTTTACTGAGAGAGAGGTAAGGTGCTGGAACAGGTTTCCCAGAAAGATTATGAATGCTCTATCCCTGGAGGTGTTTAAGGCCAGGCTGGATGGGGCCCTGGGCAGCCTGATCCAGTATTAGATCTAGCGGTTGGCAACCCTGCAAGTGGCAGGGGGTTGGAACTTGATGATCTCTGGAGTCCATTCCAACTCAAGACATTCTATGATTCTGTGGTATCTTATCTCGGTCTTGTAAGAATCCATAGATTATGATCAAAGGAAGAGGCACAAGCAGCTGTCTCCATAAAGGAGCAGAAAAATGTTAAGCTAGAGATAGGATAAAATCTCATGCGTCAATGCTACCAGACTAGACATTCATTGCACTGAAGAATATTCTTAGAACAATAAACTATACCATAGACTTTTATATCTACTTATTTAGTATGTAAAAGGCACTTTGTGCAACAAGATGTAAACCAGATAAAGGCATTCAGTACAAATAATTTTTATACAAGGAGCCAAGCGAATTAAGATAATTCACTCTATGGTGCTACAGGGAGAGGAAAATTATAAAAATGGAGATAAATAGACAAGAATAAGATACACTACTGCATATCAAATGTTTTTCACATCTTACTCAAAAGATTGACTGCTCACAGCTCATTACACGTTTCTGCAAAGAATATACAAAAAACAACTGTACAGATCTTGTATATAGGCATCCTAGAACTACTTTTTAAAGTATAGTCCTATTAAAATAACGCTCCAAAATAATGCTCCACAACATTTATGGAAAACAAGATGTATTATTACCTGGCACTGGCTTTGGAACATTTTTAGATCCTCATAGAGTTTCAGATTTTCCTCTTCTAATCTATTCCTGCTTATTGTCATTTCATTAACTGCTGCTGTTAGCTTTTCAACAATTAACCCATCCTTTTCTCTTTCAGGTTGGCCATATTTAACAATCTCTTCCTGGTTTTGTTCCTTATTGCTTATCTGGAATTGATAACTCTGAGTTCGCTTCTATAAAACAATAAAATATTTTTAATGAAATTCAATAATTACATCTAAATTTTCAGGTCCAAACAGTTCTACTGAAGTGATTAAGCTAATTTCCATTTTCTTCATCAGGACTTGCTTAGAAAAGATGGCACCTTTGGGAAGGTTTGTATCTCTATTCTAAAAGACACTTCCTTTCCTTAGCCTCAAGTTCATCATGTTCAGTGAGAATAACATTTCTAAAACTTACAAGAGTACAGAATTTTTTCAACAATTTTTCTCTGTTGTGTATTTCCCTAGCACTTTGATATTAATTAGCCTCACAAGTGAAAAGGTGATTATGATGACCTACTCAAAGCAGTTACCTATAAAAAATGATTTGAGAGAAATGTTTCTCTTCGATATAATGAACTCAGTAGGAGATGTGTGTGTATGCCTCAGGATTGGCATTAACCTTTGACTAAAAGGTGAGTAGCATGCAGTTTGTAGCTCAGTTACTGCAGTAACTGTATTTTTTTTAATCATTATTGTTAATCTTGTGGAAAAATCATTTGCACATTCAGCATCTCTGGAAACAGTCTTGTAGTCCACTCAGTTTCTTCAATTTCTTGTACTCATTAAATAATTCTAGAAAGAAAACTTCAGAAAATAGGTACTGGTGGTATTTGTGAATTCATAGGCAGTGTGAAGAACCACAATCACTATGGTAACTGTTTAAAAAATTATCCATACAGATCCTTCCACTTGGACACAGCAGCACTAATCTTTCAGAAGACTGAAATTCAGAATTAGCTGAAAAATGATACCAATAACCTGCAAACCGTATATCATGTGAAGAGATCAAGTTGAGCAGGAAAATTTAAATAAAAAATAAGTAGTGCTGCTAATAAAAATATATTTTATTTCCTTGATAACAACTGCGAAAAGGAATTCTTTCTTTGGACCCCTTCTGATTTCATTGATTGTGTTCTCTTAACTTGTGCTGGATGAAATGGACCACAGGCTGCATATTAAATAAAAAGCCTATATAAGTTGGCAAGTAAATCTAATGTATGTGGCTAACAGATTAAGGTCCCCAACATCTAAGTTATGGAGTTTGACAAGCAAAGATGTCAAAGCATCCTGTGAAATAGAAGTTTTGATTCTGGAAATCAAAAACCTTACAGATGAGAATTTGGACCAAAGATGCAGAACCTATTGATGCTTTAGAAACAATCCATCAAACTTATCATTAATAAACTAGCCTGATGTTACTCGTATGATGTTACAGTTGTGATGAAAGCTGTCTTCAAAGAGAGTTCACTGATGATAGCCTTCTGACCTTTGACAGAAAAATGTGGATGATCATCTTGAGTACTCTACTTCGGCTTGTCTAATTTACAATCAACTTAACATACACCAGCCAACGGATTTGTCAAGTCAAAGACATTTTTTTTCCAGCCATTTGTATGAAAGTTCAGTAACAGCAAAAGAATGCTTTCCACATCTGTAAATGAAATGTAACTGTCATCCTTGGAAATAGTGGATATGGGTAAAGAGTCTCGTAGGAATCATTAAGAACATGTTTCACCAGATAAAGATTCAATGAGCTTAGTCCCACTGGAAAAGAGCATTACCAGTGAGCAATGTAATTGGCTTCCCAATGCTTCATTTTGAGCTATTTTGTAGCCCAAAAAATATTTAAGTTATTTCTTTAAATTTTTTTAAGAGCACAGTAGGTCATCAAGAAATCATTAAATGTATTCTTTGTTCTAGAATGGAAATATTTAACACAATAAAAAATATTCTGTACAACTAGGCTATATAATAAATACAATAAAGAACTATGTGAACTGGCAAGTAAAAAACGGATCACAGAACCAAGAATGGACTGAGTGGTAACTGAAAGATGAAAACTATGATCAAAAATGTATCAGTAATCCAACAAACACATCTAAGTGAGCTTTTGGAACAGCACAGAGGGATCCAGTTTTTTGTATAAATGAAGTTAATGTTCATTTATGATCCTCAAATAGTGAGGCGATACCTCAGATTTGAGGGAGCTTCATATTTTGACCAAACAGGAGTGAGATGTTCTATTTACAGTGGAAGTTAAATTTCATAACTTGTCATCACAATTATTGTACAAGGACTGCTCTGCAAGTAATGCCTCCCGTTTTTGTTCTGTTGACCCACAGTGTCAGAGTTGAATATTGGTAGGATGGCAGTAGAGGTTGAAATTTCCTGCCAATATTCTGTCAGATTTTGTTGCCATGTGACAGATGAGCAGCAGAATGGCAGTCTGACAAAATGGAGACTGACATGGAAGTTTGGAGGTGTGAAATTCAATTTCTCAGTGTGGAAAAAATTCCACATTGACATTCATTAATGCTTACTGAATGTTTCTGGAGACCAAACAGTGGATGTGAGCACAGTGAAGCAGTGGGTGGTACGTCACTGCAGTGGCAACAGTGACAGCAGCTCACCTCTGCTGGTGCAGACATTCACAAGTCTGGCGTGCAGGCTCATCTTTGTGCCTGGCAAAAATGCAGAGCTAATGGTGGTGAATATGTTGAAAAATAGTGTTCTGCAGCTGAGAATTTGCTCTATCAACAGTGTTATTGTTCTCTTTGTATCTGTTGCAACTTCCATGGAAACGAATAAGACATTACTATCAGAGCAACCTACATATGTTAGAAAATAGCAAAGACAATAAATCTAAGTCCACAGTATACCTGAAAAATTAAAAAGGAACATGCATTGCTTTTCACAGTTATCTTCAGAGGAAATATCATAGTTTTCATTGTGAGATTTATTTGTATTACATAAGAAAAACAAAATTAAAATAACTGCATGTATCAGTATCTTTCAGTATGGATCTTTCTTACTTAAAATAATGTGTCCATATTATTTTTACGTTTGCTATAAGCTTAGGAGTGTTTAGATTTCAAAACATAGATTAAAATAACTCAAACTGAGCAAACAGCTCATTTTATTCTCGACTTCCTTCCGAAGAAGGAAGGTAGGAATTTTACCTGAAACAAATCACATTTCTCAGACAATAATTTTTGCTGAGCTTCTAAACACATGAGATGATTTTGGAAGATTGTCTTTTCCTCATCCCATTCTCTCAATTTTGCTTCAAATTCCTGAAATACAGCAAAACAAAGTTACTAAGCAGAAGGAAAATTACTCTTTTTCCTTAATCTAAATAATTTATTAATTTTATCGTTCTAAGAAAAGCACAGTTCTGTAGCTGATATGTAATATTTCCATAATTTTGGAAAGAAGAAAAAGACCCCAATGATATAAAACAGCCATCCAGCCACAAGACAGCCTCTCTGGAAAAAAATAATCTTAGAGGCTGGTAATATGAAAAAGTTGTGTGGTGAAATAAGCATAGAATCGCAGAATCACAGAATTGCTCAGGTTGGAAAGACCTTAAAGATCATCGGCTCCAACCACAACCCAACCATACTACCCTAACTAACAACCCTCTGCTACATCCTGTTCCTGAGCACCACATCCAAATGGTTCTTAAACACATCCAGGGATGGTGACTCAACCACCTCCCTGGGGAGCCTATTCCCATGCTTAAAAATTATTTTTGTAAAGAAGTGTTTCCTGATATCCAAACTAAACTTACCCTGGCGCAGCTTGAGGCCATTTCCTCTCATCCTGTCACCTGTCACCCAAGAGATGAACCCCATTCTTGTTGCCATCAGCTTTCAGGTGTTTGAAGTGAGCAATAAGGTCTCCCCTCAGCCTCCATTTCCCCAGACTGAACAGCCCCAGTTCCTTCAGTCTCTCTCCATAAGGCATATTCTCTAGCCCTTCACCAGCCTTCTTGCCCTTCTTTGGGCCTGCTCCAGCACCTCAGTGTCTTTTCTGTACTGAGGTGCCCAAAACTGAACACAGTACTCGAGGTGGGGCCTCACCAGTGCTGAGTACAGGGGCATGATTACTTCCCTAGTCCTGCTCACCACACCATTCCTGATACAAGCCAGGATGCCATTGGTCTTCTTGACCACCTGGGCACACTGCTGGCTCATATTCAGCCAACTGTCCATCAGTACACCAAGGTCTCAATCGCTGAATAGAAATGACAAAGTTTTTAAAATCATTTCAATTGCTGTAAATCTTACAGTTATGACTATAAAACACCAATTATATTGGAAGGCAGGCAGCTCCTGTGACTTTAAAGAAAAGTAAGAGTAATCAGCATGGGATCAAACCCTTAATAATCAGACAAATATTTTGAGTGCTTTTTTTGGTTGTTCCTTTTCTTGAACAAAGGAACAGCAGCTACAGTGAATAAATGTTACTTCTTGTAAAATTGTTCAATTGCTGCTTCTGGACTTTTTTCCTAACTTCACCTAGTTTGCAAAAACTTTTCAGGAAATGTTATTACAATCAGGTTTTGCTAGTAGCAGTTTTGTGTTTGGGTTTAGACTTATATATAAATAGAATTGTTTTGTATTTATATACATATGCTTGTATTGATATATATTTGTATTTATATTCCCATTTACACTGCTGGAATTTTTTCTTATATCAGATCTTGTATTCTTGACACAACTGACTTTAAAGGCAATAGTATACAAATAAATGGGAGAGCTCCACAGCTAATACAGTTCTAGCTCTTCTTGTTTGGATGAACAATTTGCAAAATTGCAGTATATATGCACGTGACAGGGGGGTGGAGATTCATGATCCTTGAGGTCCCTTCCAACCCTGGCCATACTGTGATTCTGTGGTTCTGTGATATTGGTTTATATAGTGAAAAGCAAAATGCTCTTATGAGCCTTTATAGGATCTGCCTTTTTCACAATGGAAGCATTGGTCCCAAAAAGGGAGATGAGTTTTTATAATTATCTTAAACTGACATATTCCTCTAATACACACATACACACACAGCTACTGCAATGAGACCAAATGCTTTTCAACATAGATTAATACAAGTTTTAGCTTTCATAATGTGTGCTTTGGTATTTTAAATGAACAAAAACCCTCAGTTTCACAAAATGTCATACAGATGCAGTTTCGGTCTGCTAAATGAGGACTGCAGGTTTAAGGCCTTATTAAAGGACTGCTGAGTTTAGTAGATTTTCAACACTGATTATTTCCTAAGTACTAGAATTTTTTGTATATATTTCAAGCAATCATTTTTCATACTGCTTAATTAATCAAACGATAGAATTGTCTTTCATTATTTTCTCATTTTAATCTTGAATGAGGTCATTCTCAAATTAGCTGGATCAGGCAGTTTCAGACTACTGATACGTTTAGTCAATTATCAATGTATAACCCATTTATTGTCCTTGCAGTGGCAGATGCTGGTAGCTCTGCCAAAATCCAAAGCTTAGCAAATTTTCTGATAGGGACTCTCCCACGTGGAAGAGACATCATTTATGTGTTATGTAAAGTGACCTGAAGGTGGCAGAAGTTGCCCCTACGTGTTACATCATAACAGGAAGGATAGGCAAGATCAAAACATAGATCCTAAAATACTTTTAAATTGTAATTTAAGTATGAAAGCATTTATAATTGGTCAGCTCTTTTCTCTTCTATACACTAATGCGCGCAGTATGGGAAATAAACAGGAAGAGTTAGAGATCTGCGTGCGGTCACATGGCTATGATCTCATTGCGATCACAGAGACGTGGTGGGACAGCTCGCATGACTGGAATGTTGTCATGGAGGGCTATGTGCTTTTTAGGAAAGATCGGCCGGCAAGGCGGGGTGGTGGAGTTGCTCTTTATGTAAGAGAGCAGCTTGAATGTATTGAACTCCACCTGGGGGAGAGTGGTGTAGCAGTGGAGAGCTTGTGGGTAAGAATCAAGGGGCGGGCTGGTATGGCTGACACCGTTGTGGGTGTGTGCTACAGGCCCCCTGATCAGGAGGAGGAGGTTGATGAGGCCTTCCACAAACAGTTGGAAGCAGCGTCACGATCCCAGGCGCTGGTGCTTATGGGGGACTTCAATCATCCAGATATTTGCTGGAAAAGCAATGTGGCCAGGCATGCGTGGTCCAGACGGTTCCTGCAATGTGTTGAAGACAACTTCCTGATGCAGGTGGTTGAGGAATCGACGAGGAGAGGGGTACTGCTGTACCTTATTCTCACTAATAGAGAAGGGCTTGTCAGGGAAGTAAAGGTCGGGGGCAGCTTGGGTTGTAGTGACCACGAGATGGTGGAGTTCCAAGATCCTGAGTGGAAGAAGTAAAGCAAAAAGTAGGATTGCTATCCTGGACTTTAGGAGAGCCAACTTCGATCTCTTCCGGGGCCTACTTGGAGCTGTCTCATGGGCTAGGGTGTTGGAAGGCAAGGGGGCCTGTGAGAGCTGGTCGGCATTTAAGCAGCTCTTCTTCCAAGCTCAGGATCGGTGTGTCCCTGTAAGGAAGAAATCGGGAAAGGGTGGCAGGAGACCTGTGTGGATGAGCAAGGAGCTCATGCACAAACTCAAAGGAAAGAAGAAGGCCCATGAAATGTGGAAAAAGGGTCTGACTACTTGGGAAGAATACAGGAATGTTGTCAGTGTCTGCAGGGATGTGTCAAGGAAGGCTAAAGCCCGCCTGGAATTAAATCTGGCAAAGGGGATAAAGGATAATAAAAAAGGTTTTTTCAAGTACATTAACAGTAAAAGGAAGACTAGGGAGAATGTGGCTCCCCTGCTAAGTGACGGGGGTGTTCTGGTAACGGGGGATGCTGAGAAGGCAGAGATACTGAATGCCTTCTTTGCTTCTGTCTTCAGTGGAAAAGCTCCCCCTTGGGAATCTGAGACCCTGGAGATTAGTGAGAGGATCTGGGGAATGGAAGACCCCCCTTCTGTCAGGGAAGAGGTGGTCCGGCAACGCCTAGGCAACATCAGTGTTCAGAAATCCATGGGACCCGATGGGATTCATCCACGGGTGCTGAAGGAGCTGGCAGAGGTGATTGCTGAACCACTTTCTGTCATCTTTGAGAAGTCTTGGAAGACGGGGAAGGTGCCTGAAGACTGGAAGATAGCCAACGTCACCCCGGTCTTCAAAAAAGGCAAGAAGGAAGACCCAGGCAATTATAGGCCAGTCAGCCTCACCTCTGTCCCTGGAAAGGTGATGGAACAGCTTGTACTGGATGTCATCTCCAGACAACTGGAAGAAGAGGAAGTTATAAGGAGTAGTCAGCACGGGTTCACAAGGGGGAGGTCGTGCTTGACCAACCTGGTAGCCTTCTATGATGTTGTCTCTGGCTGGGTGGATAGGGGGAGAGCAGTGGATGTAGTCTACCTTGATTTCAGCAAGGCATTTGATACTGTCCCCCATGACGTCCTTATAACAAAGCTGAGGAAGTGTGGGATAGATGAGTGGACAGTGAGGTGGGTTGAGAACTGGCTGACTGGCAGAGCACAGAGGGTCGTTGTTGGTGGTGCAGAGTCCGGTTGGAGGCCTGTAACCAGCAGTGTTCCTCAGGGGTCTGTGCTGGGTCCGGTCTTGTTCAACATCTTCATCAATGACCTTGATGAGGGGATAATGGCCACCCTCAGCAAGTTTGCTGATGATACGAAGTTGGGAGGATTGGCTGACACGCCTGAAGGCTGTGTTGCCATTCAGCAAGACCTGGATAGGCTGGAGAGCTGGGCAGAAAAAAACAGGATGAGGTTTAACAAAAGCAAGTGTAGAGTCTTGCATCTGGGGAGGAATAATTCCATGCACCAGTACAGGTTGGGGGATGACCTGCTGGAGGGGAGCTCTGCGGAAAGGGACCTGGGTGTCCTGGTGGATGACAGGTTGGCCATGAGCCAGCAGGGTGCCCTTGTGGCCAAAAAGGCCAATGGCTTACTGGGGTGCATTAAAAAGAGCGTGGCCAGCAGGTCAAAGGAGGTGATCCTCCACCTCCCCCTCTACTCTGCCCTGGTAAGACCTCATCTGGAGTACTGCGTCCAGTTCTGGGCTCCCCAGTACAAAAAAGACAGGGATCTCTTGGAAAGAGTCCAGCGGAGGGCCACGAAGATGGTGAAGGCCTGGAGCATCTCCCCTATGAAGAAAGGCTGAGTGAACTGGGTCTGTTCAGCCTTGAGAAAAGGAGACTGAGAGGGGACCTGATCCAGGTCTATAAATATCTAAGGTGTGGGGGGCAGAATGGCGAGGCCGGACTCTTTTCAGTGGTGAGTGGAGACAGGACAAGGGGAAACGGCTGGAAACTGCAGCATAGGAAGTTCTGCACAAATGTGCAAAAGAACTTCTTTACAGTGAGGGTGACAGAGCACTGGAACAGGCTGCCCAGGGAGGTGGTGGAGTCTCCTTCTCTGGAGATGTTCAAGACCTGCCTGGATGCCTACCTGCGCTACCTGGTGTAGGGAACCTGCTTTGGCAGGGGGGTTGGACTCGATGATCTCTGGAGGTCCCTTCCAACCCCTACAATTCTGTGATTCTGTGATTCTGTGAGCTCTTAAGATTTCATTTGTGGAGTTCTCCAAGTGTTTAAATTGTCTACCATGATAAATATATATAAATCTAAATCACGAGCATCTAAGTCCTCACCATGCTGAAAAGCTATGCAACTAGCTCACACTTAGTTTCTACTGGTATTCTTTTGCTTACTTGCCCTACAGAACCAGGTCAGGGAATGCTTGAAGCACACATTAATTTTTTCATGATCTCTGTAAAGGATGGCTGGAGAAAATATTTTTTTTTTCTGATCCTTCTATGCTACATCAGACTAGAGGATAGACTGTTCTCCAAGTACAGGAAACACTCTGTTTAATAATCTTCTCTCCAAACAGAATTTGAACCAGGATCTCCTCATGTTAATTTTCTACATAATCAACTACACGCTGTTTTTCAACAGTTTCTAGAATTTCTCTTCTGGAAGTTTTTTCATTTTGCAAAGAAAATGTACTGGCTAAGTAAGAAAGCAGAAGGAAAAATTAATAGAGCTAGAGATTACATTGCTCAGTCCTATGTTTCTGTGCCAGTGCATGTACCGTAAGAGTATTCGAGGAGAAGCTGCCATGTAGAATCTCACTCTGTAGGTGCCAATTTTCTGTGCTGGGTAAGTCTTCCATTGGCTCAGTAAATATTTCACTACTCAGCAGATAATAATGGAACTTCAAACTCTTGAGAAGTCAAGGCTGAGAATTCTGATTAGAGATCAGCATCTTACTGTACCCAAGAATAAGTCAGCTAAAATACTTTCTGTGTCTGGTTGAATAGAGAATATGACTGAATCCTATCCTCAACATCACAGATTACCTGGTTCCCCACTCAAAATGTTGGGTTCTGCAGACTGTATTTTTAAGTGCCTTATCCTTGCTGATGTGTGACCTAGGGAGACTAGGCACTGAAGTCAAAGCTGTGGATGGCCTCAGACGTGTAAGTGCTGACAGGATGCGTCTATAACAAACAGTTTTTCAGTCTTAAATCCTTATTCTATCTAGCCCTACACAATAGAAGTTGTCCTGAAGTCTGTCAGACTTATGTTAATGGTAGATATCATGTGACAAAATCCTGCACATGCAAAAACTCTCATGCCTAAACATATGATACTCTCCAGTACGCTTACAGGAAGTAAAATTTATTTATCAACATGTTTATGAAGCAAATGATGTATGTTAACTCATAAAACTATCAACAACACTAATAAAACTTCAGCAAAAGAACAAAACTTGAACACTATGCACCTTTTCTTACGTGTCTTTTGTAGAAGAATCAGATACTTGGAGTTTACAGCTGTAACCAAGAAATTAATTCTAGAGGCATACTGAAAATAGAGGGTGGTAACAAAATATTCTTACCTCCAGTTTCTTCTTTAAGTTGTTCAGAAGAACTGATGTCTCTAGGCTTTCTTTACTTATTTCTCTACTTTGACGATTTTTTTGTTTTAATAGCTTGTTATAACTACGTGTCAGCTTCAAAAACTAAAAATAAAAGCAGAGGGGAACAGACAGAATCTGTCAAGGATGACTGTGTGACCAAAGTTCTCATTAAACTAGAGTTGCCTAGTGCAAGTTCAACATTCTAATATTTAATCAATACAATGAAGAAGCATTTAACAAAATGAATTTCTTGGAGATGAACTAAGGTCTCCCTCAAATGTAAACTAACATTTCAAGTAGGTTCATTTAACAACTACTTAATTATGCTGAAGATTTCTATGGCACCATTACCCATAGTGTCATTGCCTCTGTGCTTACGGTGAAATTTTTACACTTGTTTACTGCCATCTTGTGTTAACAATTTAAAAGGGTGCTTCATCAACCAAAATGAAGGATTATCACTAAAATATTTTAGGCTTGCACATTTCCTTTCTATAATGGAATTTGATGAAAGGTTATGCATGGGGTGATTCCTTTCTTCTGGAATCGTGGAGTTCCAAAGAGCATCTTTGAGAATTAGACCCCAAATACTGTTCTGCCTATTGATCTTGCTGTGAAAGCATGGCTTAGGTGTCAAAGGCAAAGTCAGGAAGGTATCAGCAGAAGTACAAGATTCTTCAGAAGTGTGGTCACTGAACAGTTTGCTACTCTACATCAGCCTGAGGAGGGCTCCGCTATTCAGAGTTAGAAAGAGCTGCCCTGAAATGCTTATACATTTCACCTCTCTCATCTCAGCATACACTGAGAGGAATCGTATTCCAGGAGTGTTTAATTCCTTCCATCCTAAAGGATTCCTTGCATTCCTAAAGGGAGCACGACGCAGCTCAGACTTGGACATTAAATTCTAAAGGCACTTAATTGCTGAAGTGCTTAGAACAAGAATGGATTCTCCTTCTTGTGCCAAAGGTTTTCTGTCATTTTCAAAATGAGAGTAACTATCACTATAGGAAAAACAAAACAAAATTAAATTAAAAAAAAGAAAAAGAAAACCAGAAAATAATTAAGATGAATCCCTGAAGTTTTTGCTATTGAAGTATAACAAAATGCTATACATCTGAATGAGTGCAAAAGTGTGGTTTAAGAGTTTCAGATTAGCTATCAGGAACTATTTCTCTAACACAAAATAATACTTTATTGCAGTCAACTGGAATATAAACCTTCTGTGGGAAGGTTGCTCGTTAAACAGCTGCTCATATTAGTATCAAGGGTAAAAAGCACCGAGGACTACAGAAGAATTGTTATCATAGAGAAATTTGTTCTGAATAGTCTAAATGCTGTTAGGGAGAGCTAGAAAAAACAACCCTTTCTATTTCTGTCAAGATTAGGAAGGAACAAAAATTGCAAGGGATTTTAAGACAACATCTGCACAGAAAGATACAATGATGTCAATATTAACATGCTATTTGCGCAAAATTAAATGGCAGCTCTTAAGAATATACATTGTTAAAGGAGGTATAATGTTCAAGTGAAGATAAGAACCAAAAGAAGGGAGAGAAGGGATCACAGAATCACAGAATCACCAAGGTTGGAAAAGACCTACAAGATCACCCAGTCCAACCATCCACCTACCACCAGTAGTTCTCACTACACCATGTCCTTCAACACAAAATCCAAACAAGACATCTTAGAAATAAATTCTATATTTAGTGGCTTGATGGACTGTAGGTGATAAGTGTTATCACCTTTAAGTGAAAATAATGATTCCCAATTTAGACAATTTAAGAATTCTGTGGTAAGTGTGATGACTGGAAAGTTTTATTTAGACTTACTCTCTGGTAGGATAATTCAATGCAGGAAACAGAATAGCAGTAAAAACAATGTAGAGATGTGGACATGAACTTGTTAAAAACAGAATAGTTTGGAATTTGTTAAGGATCTGAATTCATAACTGAAATGAAAAACTAATGGTGAACAAAAGCACGGACACAGAGCAACAAATACAAAGCCAAAACAACTCCACAAAGCCAGGCTACTCTGGTTTTACTGCTGTGTTCCCTTGTGGAAAGTTAACAGACTTCTTTAATAACCCTTGTAAACCAATCAAACTAATAACAGAAAAAAGTCTATAGCAAAGTAGTGGCAAGAGCAGTTTAAATCTCAAAATTCTTAATGTGCATCCAAATCATATTAGCATGAATCTAATTATGTGTTTTATTCATTCACTGAGGTTATAGGTTAGTAGTTCATAGTCAGAAAATTAAACACTTGTTTTCACATCAAAATGCATCCAAAGAGTTTGTACATCTCAGTACAGGACAATGGAGACAGGTTAGAAGCCACAGTCAGCTTCTTTTGTATTACACAATTCACACAGAATCACACACAGAAACACCAAGGTTGGAAGAGACCTACAAGATGATCCAGTCCAACCATCCACCCATCACCAATAGTTCTCACTACACCATGTCCCTCAACACAGAATCCAAACGTTCCTTGAACACCTCCAGGCTCGGTGACTCCACCACCTCCCTGGGCAGCCCATTCCACTGCCTGACCACTCTTTCAGAGAAGCAGTATTTCCTAACATCCAGCCTAAATCTCCCCTGGTGCAGCTTGAAGCCATTCCCTCTGGTCCTATCACTAATGACAGGAGAGAAGAGGCCGACCCCCAGCTCACTACAGCCTCCCTTCAGGAAGTTATAGAGAGCAATGAGGTCTCCCCTGAGCCTCCTCTTCTCCAGGCTGAACATTCCCAGCTCCTTCAGCCTCTCCTCATCAGCCCTGTGCTCCAGACCCCTCATCAGCTTTGTCGCCCTTCTTTGAACCCGCTCCAGGGCCTCAATGTCTTTCTTGCAGTAGGGGTTCAAAATCCATAAAGGTGTGTCTATACCATAAGACATGTATGAGTTTTTTATAATGCAATCAGAAATTAACAAAAGTGATATTTTTCTTACTTGAGATTTAAGTGCACAAAGCTGAGTTTCGTAATTCTGAGCCATTTTCCAGTTGCTGACAAAGTAGTTAGAAACACACCACAAAGCCAGATTGCAGCAATCAAACTTCATATTATATGATGAATTAATGATAAAACTATGTGAGTCTGTCATGAAAGATCCCTTAACGAAGCATTTCTGACCCAACTATAGAAATGAGCTGCTGTGTCCCAACATAAGAATTTTGCTTGAATTGTTTACATCTTGAATTATCTGAGATTTTTACAGAGACATGGGAAATATAACAAAGAGCCTACAAGATACCTAGGTTTTTTTGGAGAGGCAGCTGAAAGCCAGTTGCAATGTGCTAAAATATTTCAGATAACATCTGTGTATGGGCAAATAGATTGATGCTTTAAGGACTGGCTAGCTGAATTATTCTCTTGGCTCCTTTGACTGCAATGACAAAGGCCAAGTTCCTACAGTTGTTTGTTAGGGAGAGAGAGATGCATTTCAAGACTCCCACTGGCCCCTAGCACACATGAGGACACCCACATGTAAACACCTAACACCTAACTTCAGATGTCTTGCAATGGAGCTGAATGTCGTGCCAGGATTCACCAATACTTCTGAAACAGTACTCAGCACACATGACTTGAACTGCAGCTGATGTCAGATCCGCTGGTGCCTTCAGTTTGAAATTAACATTCAAAGCCAGTACAGCAAGTGAAATGATAAAAATGGTGTATAAATATGAATTACAGTGACATAATTTTGTCAAACTTTTGGAACTGCATTTTTCCATTTAAAATTTCTGATTAAAGTAGAAGTATTGTCATCTAGGAAAAAAAATCAAATTATCTTTTCAAAGCTAATCTGAGAATATTTGATTTAAACTTTAAGGAAATAAAAGAAATATGGGACTTTGAATGACATTTTTACAATCACTTTTCAGAACAGAAGCCCACTTTAAATCAAAATAGTAAGGATAATTTGTGACCTCCAAAGAGTTTGGTATTTTTGCATGGTAGATCAAATAAGCCTACAAACAGAGCATTGTGATCACACTACTCACTTCTTCACAGGATATAAACTTTTTTACAGATCTGATATTTTCAAATACCTCTTGACCTTTTTGATCCAGTTTGCTTTGGGCACTTGCTGATTCTTGATGCTGGATATCCATCCGTGCTTTGAAAGCTTTCATCTTCCTTTCCCATTCTACTTTCTTGCTGTTTACTATGATGACAGTTTGATGCACTACATCCTGAAGAGCAGCTTCACATGAAGAGGCTCTGTAACAATAATAATGAAAAAAACCATTTTTTTTTAAATACAGGGCGAGGGAGAAAACAAATTTGTAGTAACATTGCTAAGACTTCATTTTACTTCTGATGGAAGTAGCCATTTTTCAACATCAGAAAGGAAAGAAATGGAAAAGTAATACTTTCAAAACTTAAATCATAAGCTTGCCTGAAGTCCAAATCCGAATATTCAGCATATTCCTGGCTTTTTGCCTAGCATAAATAGTGCTTGATATCCTCTTGCTCCCTCGGAGACAAAGTGTTGTATGAGCATAAGTTGAGTAGAAAGTATCCAGGCTGAAGCTCCAAGAACAAGAGCAGGAGAATATCAAGTTGCTTATGGGCACAGGACATCCTACTAAGTGTTGAGCAATGGTGGAAAAAGAGTTTACTGGAGGAAGTTACTAAACAGCTAGTTTGAACGCTAGTCACTATGCTTGACTGCTGGTTCAACATTTACACTCTATTTTCCTGTTGTGGAAAATGAACTTAAATAAAGAGGCTTCTATAACACTACCCATATTTAATACCACCAGGAAGCACAGAGATGAGGGCGTTTTGAAAATGACCTTGTTTTGGGGAGACCATAAACATTGGAAATTTTCCAAACTTAAGAGGCTAAGTTTTGAATACGTCCTCTGCAGTACAACTTCACTGTCAGTGATGGAACATTTTTTGCATTGCTGCTTTAGGAATATGATGTATCATAAGGAATAAAATGATGGTATATGGCTAATATATGAGATATCAGCAACTTAAAGCAGTCAAAGATGCTCTTAGTCACCCTCTTGTACTTATACGGGAGCAATAAATCAGATGTTATATACCATTTAGCAGACACATAAAAAGCACCTGAACTTAGATTTCTTTATTCCATATAAATTCAAACTTTGTATTTGATAATGAGTATTAGTAAAAAATGAAATAAGAATGATAACAAATTTGGTTAGGGATACTTTCTTTGCAAGAAATTGCACAATTTTTTCAGCACTCTAAAAATTTCCATTTGTAGAAATGCCTATTCTACATCTACGTTCTACAGTTCTTCTGGGTATATGAGATTTTTTCCCTAAGTGTTTTGGGGACTTTATTGCCCAATAAACTCAATCATTTTATGAACTGTGTTTCTCTCCATCTGTGAATTTACAGCTGGCATTTTAGAATGGCAGCTTCTATATAAGTCGGGATCTTTCTAGAACTTGTGGATCTATTCAAATTTCGATGGAACATTCCAGTTAGGAAAAAGAAAATGACAATATAATTAAATAAAACTTTTTACTGAAACATTTCTAACAGTTTTATTTTTCCAACGTACTGCTTTGTATCCATTTAAGATAAGATTCTGGTGTTTCGTGAAAAGGAAGAGGAGACAATGTACACTCTTGGCTAATTCCTCTCCGTTAAATAAAGAAGGGGAATTTCATTCCATTAACATTTAGAGCTATTTTTGGACCACTGCAAAGACTGAGCTGAAGTGGCATTTATCTCACTGAAGTGAAGGAAAATCTTTCACTGATTGTTTTCAACCAGTGAGCAATGCATTGCGTTTTTAACCTTTCGAGGCGCAGCATCTCATTCATTTCCTTTTTGGTAAATCTCTACTTTACACACATTTTATTAGTGGCATCTGTTATCTATAGGCCCCTTTCTCATATTAGTTAACAATTTCTTTTTTAACTTCCTTTTGTATCTTTCTTTTTCCTATTATGGTTTTAATTAAAGTTTTCTATACGCTTGTTTGTTTTAAATAGATAACATTTATAAACTGCCTGCTTATACAGTTTATGACTTTCTTTTGGTCTACCTTTATCTTATCTTTGGCACATATCGGGAAGTGTTGAAATGTGTCATCAGTAGCCACTGTTGTCTTACCTTGCCCACGAAAAAAACCTCATTTAAAATCCTCAAATTACTCCTTTCAGTGCTATTATCTCACCATTATGAAAATCATTACGAAAATGTCTCCATTTTCCCTCTGCAATGATTTAGAGATTAGTGTACTCAATTACTGCTGTATCTACATGAAAGTACAAATAAATCGTGGTGTTTTTTTCTGCAGTGTCATCTGTCTCCCTCTTAAGTCAATAGCTTGTACTGTTAGTAAACACCTGTTTGCTCTTCACTTTTTTCTGTCACAGTGCCTATTCATTGTACTCTTGTTCATGTAAACTTCATAAAATTGAAGTTTAATCTAAATTTAATTTCAGTTTCCTCATACTGCTGGATGATTTTCAAGCCTCTTATTACTTTTATTCTTTTGGTTCATAAAACGAGCAATTGTATTCTTTCATAAATTTGATCATCTAAGATGATGAAAAATGTATTGTAATCTATTACTTTTCACTATAATATATTTAGCAGTCTGATAAGCATCTCTTCTCTTAAACAAATCTAAGCGTGGTGTCACTGTTTTGAGTTTTCCTCTTAAAAATATTATCTCAACTAATCTTTCTAAAAATAAGTAAAAGAACAATAACTGGTGACTATTTAATTCACACACGCTTAAAAGTTACCAACTCTCTTGACTGGTACCTTATCTCTTGATATGGTACACGCAGTTGTGTGGCAAATGCCTCTGTGACTGCCTATCAGGTTTGCACTCATTAATATCTGTGGTGCGACAGTCTGAAAAAGTGAGCGTAGCCACTTCCTTTATGAATTCTCTACCATTTCCTAGCTCTCTTTCCCCTCCTTCCAAGTGTACCCATCAGTCAGTAAGTTATGAAATAATTGCCATAGATTTGGTCACAGAGACCAAAAAAAAAAGCCAGTGCAGCATCTGCATAATGTAGCAGCAACATGCAGAGGGTTAATGACAAAGCACAGAGCAGCAGGCATGTAACCACTCTGTCCTAAGGGGTGTTGGTGAGGATTTCAATATCCAAAATTAGCACAGGATACCATTTCGTGTCATGTACTTTGCAATCTGGCAGATTTTTTTGGAGTGGACACTGCAACTAAGAACGTGCCAAGCAATTAGGAGCTCTTTTAGCAGAACCCAACTAATCAAACACAAACTGAACCATGGACTCAGAGGTTATACTGTCTTTGTTTCAGCTGGGACAGAGTTGGTTTGTTTCACAGTGTCTGCTATGGTGCTGTGTTTTGGTTGTAGGAGAAAAATAATGTTTGATAACACAACATTTCTAGTTGTTGCGAAGCAGTGTCGTAAAGTGCCAAGACTGTTCCAGTTTCTCCTCTCCTACAAATGGCTGGGGGTGGGTACAAGAAGCTGGGAGGGGACAGGAACAGGACAGCTGACCTAAACTGGGCAAAGGGACATTCCATACCACATGACATCATGTGGAAGGAGTTTTGAAAGGAGTGGGAGTTCATCATGCTCTCTGCCATTGCTGAGGGTGCTAGCTGGGCTTTGGTTGGTGGCTGGTGAGCAATTGCTTGTGCATCACTTGCTATATACACACATAAAAATATGGATATATTTGTCCTGTTATCCTTTGCCTTTTCTCTATCTTAGCAAATAATTTTATCTCAACCCATGAATTTACTTCGTTTTTTTTTCCCCTGTTCTCTGGGGGAGTTGAGTGAATGACTGTGCTGTGTTTAGGCATCTGCCAGGTTAAACCAGCACATCCCTAATGCCTGTGAGCCTTCAGCTGCTGAGTTTGCAGCCAGTGCACCACTGAAGAGCAGTTCGGGTACTCACATGTGCCTCTGCTCTAAATGGCTATGGAAAACCGGCCCTAATATAAGCATACATTTTACTCTTTGCAGTTGATGTCAATACCTAGAGGAAACATTGGGATTTCTTTCAAGTTAACTATCTGTTTGAAATAACAAAGGCAGTGGATAAAAATGTCCCTGCTGTAAATGTTTCTGGTAATCTTTCACTTCCTCACTGTTCAACCAGCTTCCTGACTGTCAGCCCTCCTGATACCTGTGCAGACACACCAAAATCTTCTGTCTGTAAGTTCTGCTCAGAGTCAAGCCCTGGCCTCACACATTCTGTACTCCATATCTTGCATGCTCAACTTCTGAGTGTAGTGCACTAAGAAGAAGAATTCCTTTACATGGAAATATGTTTACTGAGGGTTTTTGGTGCTTAAAGGTGCATACATAATAATCGTGACAATTGCTAAAGAAATTCAAATCTTGGAAACCTTGCCATTATCAATATTAAGCTAGGAAAGATTTTATAAATACTTTTAAAAGTCTTTATGTTTTTTAATGTTAGTAATCTTATAAAATTTAATATCATTCATAGAATGACCGAAACAAAAAAGCAAGCAAGTAGCAAGCAACAGCATGATACAGTACAAGAAAGACAGAGAGCTGTTGGAGAGGGTCTGGAGGAGAGCCACAAAGATGATCAGGGGGCTGGAGCACCTCCCCTACAAAGCCAGGATGAGGGAGCTGGTCTTGTTCAGCCTCAAGAAAAGCAGGCTGCTGGGTGACCTCATTGCAGCCTGCCAGTACCTCAAGGGAGCCTAAAACAGGAGAGGAATCAACTCTTTGAAAGAGTAGATAACAGCAGGAAGGACAAGGAGAAATGGTTTTAAGGTGAAAGAGGGGAGATTTAGGTTGGATGTCAGGGGGAAGTTCTTTACTATGAGGTGGTGAGACACTGGAACAAGTTGTCCACAGAATGCTGTGGATGTTTCCTCCCCAGAGACATTCAAGGCCAGGCTGCGTGGGGCTGTGAGCAACCCGGTCTAGAGGGAGGTGTCCCTGCCTTTAGCAGGGGTTGGAACTGCATGATTTTAAAGGTCCTTTCCAACTCAAACCACTCCATGATTGCCAGGTGGCAACATGTCAGGGAACAATGAGCAGGGACTCTGCTATCTGATTTTAGCCTTCATAAATTGGTACTTTCTCTGTTGTGCATCATATAGATTATCTAAACATTGCTGTGCAACTCCAAATGTGATCTCTAGCCTGGACCACCTGATTACCATTCCAGATCCACCATGGCTGACATCCTTTCCTCTCGGGTTGTTTCACCTATTCTTTTGAGATCAACTCCACAAGACAAGTTCTGCAGCTGTTGCTAGAAATTTTTCTTGCAGCAATTATTGCAAGTTTCATGAACCTAGAACTGCCAGTATAGAAAATGGACACGTTGAAGGAAAAATTCCCATCTGAAGCAGCTTCTCAGTCTCTCTATTTTCTCCTTTTCATCTTTGTCTGCTTCCTTACCTAGATCCTTTAGGTACATTCACAACTAAAAAAGGAAAGCTGTACCTGAAGCTGTAGATTACTGCTTCTGTTCTTACTTCCAGAGCTGCTCTGTATCATCACTGTAGCATTATGCACATCACTGCATAAAGATGCGCTTAGCAGTTATCCCCACCTACTAGCACAGAAGGACTAAGAGCTGCTGTGCCTATTATTTTAATCCCTTTGGTGTTTTGAAAGCAGTGGTTACTACACTCCCTCAGAATATGACCAATCGTATGGTGTGAGAATTATGCAAATTTTAATTTCATCACTGGAGGTGGAAGGTGAAAAACTCTGGCATGTTTTGTTTAATATAGGATCAGGTGAAAACACAGGGAAAAAGTTTTCCCATGAAGGGAAGAAGGATGGGGATTTTACTCATAAGCATTCAGCACTCCTACACTGCTGACTGCGTACAACAAATGCATTCCTCCCACACGGAACCAATGACTTGTATTTAAGCAAGTGGGAACTACTCTGTTGCATTTACTATGAAATGGCTCAAAACACTGTAAAGTAATGCATTTTTAAAGAGATGTAGGCAAACTCTTAGTCCTTTTACTCTATTTCCATAATAGTGAAAACAGAGATGATTCATATTCTGCTGTCATTAATGACTATTTATCTGCATGTCAAATGTGTGTATTTCCAAATTTAGAAAAAACCAAATCCTGTACAACCAGCTTTTATTAAAGCTTTCTTCAGCCAGAAGAAGGTGTGGGTGAATGTATGTGTTTCTATTACTTTAAGAAGTACTTTTACACTCAACATGTGCCACATTAGCTAGACCGCTTCTTGATAAGAACGATATGAAGAACCATGTGATATGACATATGGAGAAGTGTTCTTTACCTTGCTCTGTTCCTTGAGCAGGCTGGATGATATGAGACCCTACATCAAATCTCACCCATGGTTTGTGCTGTGCTGTATTTTTTTTCAGATTAAAGCAACTCGATTTGGATGATGTGGAAAAAAGGTGAGTGTGTTGGGAAGGGAAATGTGCTTAATGTTTGGCAGAACAATTTTGGTTATTGTATGTGAAAAATAAAACTACAGCTTGAACAACCAACAACCCTGTTTCTAATAGTTTTGAATGTTTTAAGTGCTGTGATATTTAAGTTTATACTGCTGTAGCCTAGCAACTTCAAGAATTTTTGAAGACCATTCAAAATGAAAATTCTTAACATCTTAATAAAACCCAGTTTTCATTGTTTTCTTTTGTTTAGGTATGCAGATTTTAAGGATTTAAATAAATAAAAGTAGAAAATTAAAGCTCTGAACTGTGTTGTCTTAGGTATCAGTAGCCTCCTTACACCTTGCCCAAAAAGGATAAAAGAATGTTTGCTTCTGAGATCATCAGTATTTTGTTTTACATCCTTAATAAACCCACACAATTCAATTGCATTATGCATTTAACCTCCAGACAGTCTTTACTTACTTAGTGAGAGTCTGTTCTTGAAATACTTTTGAGCCCTGCTCCATATTAAAGCCTTGTTAACCTGTTGGAACGGCAGAAATCATATAATTCAGATTCTCTCAAGTGTGCTTGTACATAGCAAAGCAGTACATATGGGATAGTTCAGTGCTTTCCCTTCAATTTCTGTGATTCTTCCATGCAAACAACAGCAGAAGAGAAATGATTACAGACTGCAATGGGCAACATGAAAGCTTCAGGAGTAAGCTCAGGTCTCTCAGCAGCTGTTACACTTGATGCAGCAGTGAGATAGTTGAGGTGCTGCTGGCTTGAAGATACCGCTGGATTTCCATGAGGAAGAATTTGGTTTGGATCATTCTCTGCTAGTGATATCAGTGATCTGCTCCAAAACACACGAATGTAAAATTGCCAGTTTCATGGGTGCAGTCAGCAGCCATTTCTCCAGTGTCATAGTGCGGAGGTCAAATTCCATCTCTTCATAATTAAGTTATACTGGGCCATATTTGCTCTCAAACACATTTTTGGACTCACATTGACTATTTGTTGCCATGTGCTGCAAGTGCAGCATGGAGACACACAGCACTCAAGCATCTTGGTGGCAAGGACAGAGTGTGATTCTGGGAACAACCTGGGTCTGTGTGTCCGAAGGAACAGAGATCTGGAGAAAGCCTGGGTGCGTGCAAGGACAGGAACCTATCATGGACTCTCAAGAGGATGGATATCAGCACGTAGAGGTGTGTGGACACCACTGCATGGCACCAGAGCCACAGGACCTCTGATTCCACAGAGGACGGGCACCTGAGGTGACACAGGTACAGGATCACCATCCTTGGATCCACCTTGGTATCACAGAATCATAGAGGTTGCAAAAGAGCACTAAGATCACCATGTCCAACCATCAGCCCACCCCACCATGCCCACACACCACATCCCTCAGTGCCACATCTCCACGGTTCCTGAACACCTGCAGGGATGGCGGCTGCACCACCCCCCTGTGCCGATGCCTCGTAACTCTTTCTGAGGAGTGTTTCCTAACATCCAACCTCAACCTCCTCCGGTGCGACTCGAGCCCATCACCTCTCGTCCTATCACTGTTACGTGGGAGAAGAAGCTGACCCCAGCTCACCACAACCTCCTTTCAGGTGGTTGTAGACAGCGATAAGGTCTCCCCTGAGCCTCCTCTTCTCCGGACCGAACAATCCCAGTTCTCTCAGCCGTTCCCCATAAGAATTTTGCTCCAGACCCCTCACCAGCACCTGGGGTGACACAGCAGAGCTGTGGCTTCGAGAGGGAGCGGCACTTGAGGCGACCCAAGCACCGCGGACGCGCCGATCCGGGACACCCCTGGATGAACGAACACGGCGGAGCTCCCCGGACCCTCAGCGGAGCCCTCCCCGCCCGTTACCTGCCGCTCCTCCCGCCGCCCCCTCCGCGGGCTCCTCAGGCTCCTTGGCCGCAGCACAGCTCCTCGGCCCCCTCGCTCCCGCCTGCCGCCCTCCCCGCCCGCTTTGCGCCGCGGCCCTTGCCGCGGGGAGCGAGGCGGGGATAGAGCGGTGTCCGTGAGGAGAGCGCCGGGACGGAGCTGGGGCAGAGCTATGGATTATGAGCAGTGTTTTTAAAATGTAAGATTAAAATAAAAGTATGTGCAGAATTTCAAGGAAGTTCGTGATGAAGTTTGCTCGCTCGGACTTTAGCGCAGCCTTTGACTCTATGTTCCACACAATTCTCTGGGAGAAGCTGCAGCCCGTGGCTGGGATCCGTGTGCTCTTACCTGGGTAAAGGGTTGGCTGGATGGCCGGGCCCAGAGAGTGGTGAGGAACAGAGTTAAATCCAGCTGGCCATCGATAACGAGTGGTGTTCCCCAAGGGTCCGTACTGGGGCCTCTCCTGTTCAGTATCTTTACTGAGGACATGGATGAGGGCATTGAGTGCACCCTCAGTCAGTTTGCAGATGACACTGAGTTGGCTGGAAGTGTTGACCTGCCTGGGGGAGCGAGGCCCTGCAGAGGGATCTGGACAGACTGGAGAGCTGGGCCAACAGGATGAGGTTCAACAAGATCGAGTGTCAGGTCCTGCACTTTGATCATAACAACCACAGGTAATGCTACAGGCTTAGGGCAGAGCAGCTAGAAGTTGCACCTGTGTGGAGGAAATGGATATGGTGGTGTTGGTTGATGCTCGGCTGAGCATGAGCCAGCAGTGTGCCCAGCTGGCCAAGAAGGCCATCGACATCCTGGCTTGTATCAGAAACAGTGCTGCCAGCAGGAACAGGGAGGTGATTATCCCTCTGCACTCAGCACTGGTGAGGCTGCATTTGGAGTGCTGTGCTCAGTTTTGGACCCCTCACTATAAGAAAGACACTGAGGCTCTGGAGTGAGTACATAGAAGGGCAGTGAAGCAGTGGAGGGGCTGGAGCACAAGTCTTGTGGGGATCAGCTGGGGGAACTGGGATTGTTCAGCCTGAAGAAGAGGAGGCTCAGGGGAGACCTTATCACTCTCTACAACCACCTGAAAGGAGGTTGTGGTGAGCTGGAGGTCGGCCTCTTCTGCATAACAGTGATAGGACAAGAGGTGATGGGCTCAAGTCGCAGCAGGGAAGATTGAGGTTGGATATTAGGAAACATTTCTTCTCAGAAAGAGTGGTGATGCACTGGCATAGGCTGCCCAGGCAGTCACCGTCCCTGCAGGTGTTCAGGAGCCATGGAGATGTGTCACTGAGGGATGTGATGTGTGTGGGCATGGTGGGGTGGGTTGATGGTTGGACATGGTGATCTTTGGTCTTTTCCAACTTCCATGATTCTATAATTTCTAATACTGCCAGGTGCTCCTGCAGTGTCTCATGACTCTGCCTTGCAGCAGCTGTGACCCAGGTTATGGCTGCATTGTGCCAGAGCTGTCCTTGGGGACAGGCAGCCAGAGCCACAGGGAAGGGAGGAGAAGGCTGAAGAATCTGCTGCGCTCCTAGCCCTGAAAACATGACACCCATTTGTGCTAATTACTGCAGTAGAAAGAATGTGAAGAAATGATCCTGAAACATTTGGTTATTGCTGCCTGAAATATCTCATGTGTAATTTCTTGCATGGAAATGTTATTGTAAGGGTTTTTTTGTTTTGTTTTGTTTTGTTTTTTTAATGAAACCCTTCCTCCCCCACCCCCCTCCACCCCCCCACCCCTGAATTTTATAATTATTTATTTAAAATACATAAACTTAGGGTTTTAAATATGTTGTAGAAATAATTTGCAGTGTAACTGCCAGCAAATTTCCCGTTGTTCATTTGAGCAACTGAAGTTAACTTTTCAGCCCTATTCCCACTGGGCTCATTTTAATTTTCTACCTGTCTCATACCTTCTCAGTGGTAATCAGTTATTCAGAGATTTAACTTCCATCTATCATGCCTAAATAAAATGTGAAAAAAAGCCCCAACATGCACACAGAAAAATAATTTTAAAATGACATATCAGTGCTTTAAAAGCTTTTCTGAAGGACAGTTCCCACTGCATTTAATCAGAGTTGTGTTTCTAATTCCTGGATGCTCCTTTGAATATCTCATTTGCTATATTAAAAAAAAATCTCCTACAATATTTCTGACATTTTCAATTTGCTTTTGCTCATCAACATTATCTTTTGACTAGAGCTTGTTAATGAGAACAAAAGTTTTCACTTGTTGACTTTAAAAAGGTAATTAGTGGTATTCAAAGCAGATGGAGAGGAAGCATAATAAGTGCAAAATAATTAAAGATTTTGTAAAGGATATTTATACATACATTAAATTATGGTAGCCAGTAAAATAATAAAGAAAAATAAAGTACTTAAAAACCTACAAATTAGTGGAAAGATACAAGCACAATTCTGCAGGAAAAGAGGAGTCATTTCAGGTCAGGGACAAAACTGTGAATGACCAAATGTCAAACAAGATAAGGCACAGCACTGATATTAAAACAAAAAGGGAAAGTCAGCAAGACGGATACTCACAGTCAGAACAACCAGGCAACAAGAGACATTTGGATTTTGTGTTGAGGAACATGGTTTAGTGAAAATATTGGTGACAGGTGGATGGTTGGACTGGATGATCTTGTAGGTCTTTTCCAACCTTGGTGATTCTATGATTCTGTGATTCTGAGAGTACAGGGAAATCCAAAGAGTGGATGGGTACAATGATGTATAGCTTCAGCAGGATACCCCTTGCTCAGGCTGGTCCTGGGATTCATGAAGCAAAATGAGATTAACAGCTCTAGTAGAAGAACTGGAAGAAGCTGTATGAAGAGAGTTGTTCATTTTTCAATATCTGCAACTCCAAATTGCCAGATTCTTCTCTTTTTTTGTGGCATTGTGTCACATTATTGATGGGTAGGTATCCTGTCTGTCCACCCAATAGAGCATATGCCACAGCTGTTCCTGTTTTGGAGGGAACCATTGAAAGTGGGTCTCTTCATATAGGTTGTACTTTGCCACTGGTGTGGGTTTTACATGGAATTGTAGAGCTTTTGTCCATAATGTTTAAGAAGCATGTAGTTATTCTAAGATACGGTGCTGAAAGGCAGGCAAACTAAATTCCGTTGCAATTCCTCTCCACCAATTATATTAAGAGCTTTTGAAGAAGTCCTAAGTAAAGTGAAATGCCTTTTAGTCTAATAATTATGCTGAGAATTTAGAACACAGTCATAGAATCACAGAGCAACAGAGGCTGAAAGGGACCTCAAAAGATCATCCGGTCCAACCATTGCTGGAAAAGGGCACCTGGATAAGATTATACGGCACCAGTCCAGTCATGTCTTGAAGACTTCTGTCACATCCCTGGAGAGTTTTTTTTTCAGCAGTTGATTGTTCTCACTATAAGAAATTTCTTTCTTTAATTAAGACTTTTTGCCCCTTGCTCTATCCATGTGGCTCCTTGTGAAAAGATAGCCTCCATCCTTTTGTAGCCTTGTACGTACTGGAATGAGGTCCTCCCTGACCCTCCAGCAGGGCAAAAAAAACTTGACTCCTTCAGTTTGTCAATGATGTTTCTGAAATATGGGGACCAGAACTGGATGTAATACTGCAGGTG